AAAAATTGAACTGTCAAAAGTCAGTAGATATTAAAGAAATGTTACTGTATTTCTAAACACATTCTAGGTATAGACTTTTAAACTTGAGTTCTAGAGGAGTTTGAAAGGCAGTGAATAATAATTTCCTAGATTCCTAGTGTTGGACAAATACAATGCACCTTACCTGCATCATCTGATACTACCTCACAGCTGACTTCTGAGGCAGCTCTTGGTGTGCCCATTTAGTGGATGACAAAAGTGACCTTCAGAGAGATTAGTAACTGTAGGTCAGGGAAAACTGTGAGAGGCTTTGAAATGGACAGACAAAGATTGTTGGGTGTTCTGCCTAGCCTACTCTTCCAGGATTTCTGCACCTTTCACTGTCTTTGAGCTATTTTTCAACTCTTAGAATTGTAGAAAACTGGTAACAATGCAAATCATTCTTGTCTATACAAATGCAAATGAGTTGTGTCTGGTGGAGATGCAATTGATTGTTTCCCTATGGCTACGGACTCTTTTTGTCTTTATTTGTAATTCATGTCAGCATTCTTGATTGCCTAGGTGTGTATCTGTTCTTTGAATTCGCCTTGGAACTCTTAGGATGCCTTACTGGTTCCCTTATTAATTAGTGAGTTAAAACTTTGGCAGTTGTTCATTTTATGTGTGTATGATTTTATCTTTAAAAAATGATCTCAAGTCTGGTCCACGCAACTAGAATATGAACCTGTCAGGAGTTGACGCAGGTGTGTTTGACAGGGATCCTTTATTAGGATTATTTTTAGCCACCGTGCTCTTTGAAAAGCTGATGAAAACAATGAACCATTTCTCTGGGAAAAACAAATACATTAATAGACACACACAACTTTGCATGCTATTTGTAGAATTGTTTGCCTCCTAAATAGTGGTTTAAGAATTCCTGGGATGGGCCCTGGCTGGGAACTTGGTTGGTTAGAGCATCATCCCAATACACCAAGGTTGTGGGTTCCACCTCTGCTCAGAATCAATGAATGAGTGCATAAATAAGTGGAACAACAAATCAGTGTCTCTGTCTCTCCCTCTCTCTCCCCTTCCCCTCTCTCTTTTTGAAATCAATACAAAAATTTAAAAAAAATTCCTGGGATGGAATCTAGGATCAGAGTACCTGCTCAAGTTCAGAAGTAGAAAGAGGTAGAAGGAATGATACTGGGTGGTTCTGGGAGCAGAGAGGAGAGGCCCCGAGGCAATGAGGGAGAGGTTGCATTCCTTGGGTAAACAAGCTAGTGTGTCAGGTGACGGCAGATTCCCTGTCCCCAAGCAGAGACACAGTAGGAAGAAGTCATTGTTCAGAGTCTGCACAAAGCTAGAGAGTGATAGACAAAGGGAAAAGCCTATCTACCCCCTTCTGGTTCTTGATTGAAGTGGAAACCAGAGGTCACAGCAGCACATGTGCTGTAAAGGTTAACATGGTTGCAGGGGGAGGTGCAGACCTGACAGTGTAGCCTGGAAAAAGGACAGGATTGGCTGGGGTTGTTGGATGCTACTGGAACGCATGTAAGTTTGGGCCAAGAGATTTAAATTGAAAGAAGGCAGAGGCTTGCCCTTTCTCTTCCTTTGGGATCCATGGCATGGACATGCAAGACGCCGTGGCTTGGTGATGGTGGTGCCAGCCCCACCCACAGACTCCAGGGAGCCTGAAGCCAGAGGACCATCCTTCTAGCAGCCTCATGCTCTGAAGGATAGATAAAGATGGAGCAGGATTTCTGGGTATGGTTTTGGGTTTCAGTCTTTTTGGGAACAAATAGATTTGTCTATGTTTTGTGAAAGAGATTGGCCTGGAGTCAGCAAGTCCCCTGTTCCCACAAATTATGCAACATTTTAATAAAAACCTCTTTTCTTTCCCACCAGCTTTTGTCTTTGGAATATGCCTATATTTGGTGGTGGGCAGCTGAACCCCACTTTTGTTGGGTACCAGAAAGAGTTGAGAAAATGACCTTCTTTCTTAACACTTGTTGAGTGCTTACCGCATGCCAAAATGTACTGACTCATTTAATTGTCGCAGAAACACTAAGACACAAGAAAGTGTTGCTACACAGAGAACATGCACATGGAGAGGACATGTCTCTTGTCCAAGGTCACACAACTGGCATGAATTCTAAAGTGATTCTTTTGTCCCACACATATAAAGTTAAGGGAGTAAAATAGTTCCGGGGTGGACAAAACAAATCCCTCCCTAGAGAAGAAGAAGGGGTCCCTTCAGTCAACTTTTACATCTGTACTGAAGCAGATATAACATTCTCATCACAGGAATCTCTTATGATCTGCCAAGCCCTGTCACTAGAGGATTCTGGGGGAAGGGGGTTATGTGACTGGGACAGGAGATGGGGACTGTGATGGTTAGTTTTATACGTACACTTGCCTGGGTCACATGGTACCCAGAAAACAGGATAAATATTCATATGGATTGTGTTCTAGGGTGTTTCTGGATGAGATTCCCGTTTTACCTGGTAGACTGAGTAAATCAGACACCCTCCCAATGCGGGTGAACATGATGCCTTGCGTAGAACAGAAAAGCAGAGGAAGGGAGAATTTGTTCTCTCTGCCTGACTGTCTTTGAAGTGGGGCATCAGTCCTCTGTCTTTGGACTCAGACTGGAGGTTATACTCTCCTGGTCTCCAGCTTGATCACTGCAAGTCATGGGACTTCTCCATTCCACTGGGGAGTCTGCAGATCTGCAGTCTTACCCAGGGCCTACTTCTAACCAGGATGTTAGAAATGGCTGTGAGAGGCCTCAGAAGAGAGCCTGCTGCCTGGCCTAGGGCTTCCACAGCCCCAGAGGCTGTGGGGCAGCTGCCAGCTTTTCCTCCTGCTCATGAGAGACAACCTGGAAGGCAGAGAGAGAAAGCAGGGGTCGGGGGCAGGGGTCTTGGCCACTGGGGTGGGAGGCAGCAGCAGAGAGTGTAGAGTGAGCCCCCAATAGGGCACTGACTGACGTGGGGAGGAGGGGTCACACCCAAGGCCAGACCAGCTGAGACGTACTCAGTGGGGAAGGCCAGCAGGGCCTGAGAAACACAGAGGCGGGAAAGTGGACGTCCCCTCTGCCAAGAGACCGCAGTGGCATTTGTGTTAAGACTTTTCCAACCCTCACCCTCAACCGATCAAAGATCCCTGTAGGAAGGAGGGGAACAAAAGGGGACATCTCAAATGTGACTGAGTTTAAACCCAAGTGTTTGAGGAATCAGTAATATAGAAGCTACTAGAATAAAATCTCTGCCAATGACATGGAAAGTAAATCCAGTTGTTGCAAAACGACAAAAATTACATTCTGCACATTTGAGTTCAGAGCTATGAAATGGGTATGTGACCCCTGAGCCAGTAAGTTAAGAGTTACCTGTCTTTGTTAATCAACTCTTTTGCCCCCTGAACCCCTAAGCTTCTCCTTCCATCCAGAGTTTCCTGGAGGCTAGATGTCAATAAGAACAGTCAGGGCTCTGGGTGATTTGGTACGTCAAAGTTTGCAAGGCACGCTCACACTAAGGCCTGTACTCTGTTCTGGCACATTGCACCCTAAAGGCAGAGCTGGCCTTGCTGCCTCCAACCTACAGATGAGAAAGCTGAGGCCCAGAGAGATTAAATAGCAATGTTTACAGCAAATTAGAGAGAGTATGGCACTAAGACCCAGGCTTCCCTATCCCCAGTCCACCTCCTGGGTGGGTCAGGGACGCAGGCAGATTGCAGAGGCGCTGGGACTTGGGGCAGAGCCCTAGATGTCTAGGATTGCATGTGGAGGCCAGTCCAGCCTGCGCAGCTCGAGGGAGCAGGCCCTGGCTTCCCCGGCCTCCCCAGCAGGGCACATCCACGCCCTGCAGAAGGGAAGTTCAGGGGATGCCCTCCCTGTGAGCAGGTGTGACTCTTCCCAGGGCTGGAACCCAAAGCAGCCACCTCTGGTGGAATCTGGGACAACGTCACTCCACAGTGGGTCCTGCCCTCACACTTTGCAAAATACTTCCACTTCCTTTCAGAGCCTCCTGATTGCTCTGTGAGGCAGGTCAGATGGGCAGGCCATTCTCCAGATGCCAACACTGAGGCGCAGGCAGGGCATGTGGGCTGCCCAAGGTCTTGCTGCAAGGAAATAGCAGAGTCAAATGAAACCCTCAGCTTTTCAGAACAGAGCGAGGCTGGCCTTCCAGCTGGGCTCCTTGCGTAAGTCCGGGGTAATAAACTCTGCACAGAGCTTGCTGTCTTACTCTTCTTTTGAACCAGAAATGACGCGCCCCCCCTACCCCCAAAATTCGACAGAATAACCAAAGACACTATGTTCTGTTTTAAATAAAAAATTTTCCTATATTTCTCTCTTTTTTTGAGACAGTTACATCAAAGCCATACAGAATGTTAGACACGGACCAACTGCAAGGTCACGGGGAAATGTTGTGCCTGCAGGGGAAGGTCAGCGCTCCCCCTTCGACCAACCTGGACTGAGCTCACAGAGACAGAGCCTCGCAGTTCATGCCAATATCCAGTTCCATTCATGGAGTACTCAGCAGGCGCTGACTAAATGTGTTATGAACGAAAGAGCGAACAACCTCTCATTGGCCTCCTGCATGCCTCTGTTACTGCCATGGTTCACCTCACCAAAGGAGGGGCTGGAAGGCCCTCAGAGGTCACCTGATCCAACTGCTTCATGTTACACGTCAGGTCCAGATGGGGGGAGTGACTGGCTGGAGGTCACACAGCAAGTGAGAGGAAGCACAGGTGAGGAAGGATGACCTCCTCATTCCAGAGCTCACCCTGAGACCTGAAAAGCCTCCATCATGGACCTGGGAGGGCCACCGTGGCGAGGAGCTGGGAGAACCCCATTCACTGGCCGCCTTGCTGCCGAGCCCGCTGTAGCCTTCCAAGGGGCGTGCTCAGGGAGGCTTCCTGGAAGGGTGGGCCGCCTTCGGATCAGGAGGCTGACTCCCCCAGAGGTCTGGGCAGCTTCCTGCCACACGTCTTCACCTGGAGAGGAGAGTGGCTCCATTGCGGACAGGATGTCGGTTCAGTCCCTATGTTGAAGTGGCACAGACGCTGCCCCATTTGGGGTGCAGAGGTGGAAGGAAGCAGAGGGCAGGGATGCGGCTCTGCTGGACAAAGGGGCCCGGGAGAGGCAGTGTCCAGGCAGGGAAGCAGGCAGAGGTCGGCCAACCTTGAGCTGGTGGATAACACCACGTGGGAGGAGCCAGCCTGGGCAGTGCAGGGGGCGGCAGCAGGGGACCCTGTCACAGGGAGAGGTCAGGAGAGCCGTGAGTCGTCCGCTTCAGCCTGGGCTGGCCCGCAGCTTCCCCCCCTCCCTCCCATGACTTGGGCAGCTTGGGGTGGGGAGGGGCCCGACCTGGGGAGAATCGCATGCACTGGGGCTCAGAGAACCTGGTCCTCACCCCCCATGCACAGCAATGGCCTGATATGGAAAAGTCACTTTGCTTCTCAGAGCTCAGTTTCTGCGTTAGGGGGAAAAAAAAGGATAAATTTAAAAAACCTGTCTCGTAGCCTCACCGTGGGTCTACACAAACCTTTAGTCTCAGGGCTGTCCGTTGCTTTGAGTGTTGTCTCCCAGAGTTTAGCATCTGGTACACACGCTGATATGTATTGACTCAATGGACAGCGAATACTAAGGGAGCACTTCCTAAGTGCCAAGCAATCTTCACGTGTCTATCATTTCGTTCTCATCAGAGCTATTACTGTCCTCTGAGGGGCACAGTGACTCTTCCAGGTCACCCTGCTGCTAAGGGGAGAGCTGGGGTTCGAACCCGGGCCGTCTGACTCCAGTGCTCAAGCTCCGGGTACCGCCCTTTACTCTGTGACCCTATTCTGTAAACTGTGAAGTTTTACCCAAGTAATACAAGGAAGAGGGAGGAGCACTGTTGATTGTCACTGAGTGGATAAGGACATTGGGACAGAGAGAGGCAACGATTTGTCCCAGGTAAGACAGACTTCCAGAACCTCCTTGCCCATGCTCTTTCTAAAAAAAAAAAAAAAAAAAAAAAAATTCCTCTGAGGTGACTCCTCCCATGTGGGTCTGGAAGGGATGTTCCCGGACCGTGGGTCCCCCAGACCCCCTCAGGGCCTCAGCCACTCACGGCCACGTGCAGGTGTGTGGCCGGGGCCGAGTCGGCCTCACTTAGCCGCTGCGGAGCTGTAAAGCTGCCCATCCTCTCCTGCTTCCGCCACTTGGCTCGCTGATTCTGGAACCAGATCTGACGAGGGAGAGAGAGGATGGAGATGAACAAAAGGGTTTTTCTCCTTCTAGTACCTCCCCCAACACGCATAATAACAACGCCTCCCAAGGGACTTTCCAGTTGAGAAAGCTTGGGGCGCACAGGATTTCTGTGGCTCTGGAGGTCAGCCTTCTGAGCCGGCTGGGGGGTCACAACCTTCAATGCCTGCAGGGTTGGGGGCCCCTTCGGGAGGGAAGCCGTTCGGTGCCACACCATTGGGAGTGGTGGGGCCTGCGGTCCCCAGAGCCCAGGGGGGCAGCCTCTCAGCTTCAGCCAGCAGCCACCATGTGCAATGTGAGCCCAGCCTTGCAGGCTCATCCAGTTTCTAAGAGAGACATCTTGATTTTTATGTGACAGCTCTGAGGTTTAAAATGCTTTGCAGATGAAATAAAACCCACCGGCAGGCTGTTTCCCAGGGCAGGCCGCCTGTGTGCAACCCCTGCGGGTCCCGTGGCATTCACGGGACATCAGCAATTTCCTGTATTCACTGGCATCCTGATTGTCCCTGACACACGACCATGTTACTTGGTCATTCTGCTGAGATGTCGCTGAACTCTGAGCCACTTAGCTGGTGCTACCAGATTAGCAGGTGACAGATTCCAAATAGAAAGACAAAGGGGAGAGGTCTGAGGTGGGAGCAGTCCTTAGCCAGAGAGAAGTAGATTGGGATAAAATAAAGAGTGGACTGCTGACCTGGGCCTTTGCTTAGAGTTTGAATTTGAGTGAATGCTTCATATTTGTTTTTCAAAAAAGGGTGACAGAAAACTAGGTTAGAGGCATGCCAAGAGTCTGACAATTGGATCAGGGTTTGCTAGAATGGTACTTGTTAAACTGGAGATGTGTGAAGAGGGCAGGACATGCCCCCGGTGAGTGACAAGGGGCTACTGTGTCTCCAACCATGGAGAAAGCCATAGACACACTGGGTAAAGAAATTTCAGAGTATAGATTAGGCAGCTGGTGCTCGAACCGGGTCTCAGACCATGGATCCAGGGCCCTTCCCACTTCTCTGTGCTGCCTTCAAAACAATAGCCATGAGGTCCAGACCAGGGCTTGGAAAACTAAGGCCGGTCGGCTAACTCTGGCCCTCACCTGGTTTTGTACAGCCCGTGAGCTAAGAATGGTTTTCATATTTCCAATGGGTGCACAAAACCCAAAGAAGAATAATGTTTTGTGATGCATGGAAATTATACAAAGTTCACATTTTGGTGTCCGTCGATAAAGTTTTATTGGAACACCGCCATGTTCATTTGTATGTACATCGTCTGTGGCTGCTTTTATGCTACAAGCAATATACGGGTGCGTACTTGTGAGAGTGACTGTATTGGCCCCCCCAACCTAACATAATTACCATCTGGCCCTTCACAGAAAAATTTGGTTGACACCTGTCTAGACAGTCAAGAGGTATTTTGTGAAGGGGGCTGCATGGTGGACGACATTCTGAAGCTGTAGCCAGGTGCAGAAGAAGGGCATGGAAGCACCTGTCCATGGCCATCACCAATGCCAGCTCACTCCATTTTCACCCTCCAAGGAGAGAGATCATCCTATTACCACAGTGGCCTCATTTCCTGGGAAGTAACATTTAGCAAATATGACTGTTTTCATGGGACAAAGCCAATGGAAAGCTTCAGACAGGGCAGGCCTGGAGGCTCCAGGACCCACAATGCCTCACCCATGGCCCCAGGTCCATTGAGGTGGGGGCCGAGAGTGGGGCTGGTTGTACCTGTACCCGGGCTTCTGGGAGGTTGATCCTGGCTGCCAGCTGGTTGCGGATGTGGATGTCTGGGTAGTGGGTGAAGTGGAAGGTCTTCTCCAGCTCATGTAGCTGCTCTGTGGTGAAGGTGGTTCGGACTCTCCGCTTGCTCTTCCTCTCCTCTGGATGAAAGAGGGAGGAGCCACATTGTGTTAGTGACCTTTGTCACTAACAGGTGGTCCAGGGGGTGTTGGCTTTGTGTTGCTTTGTTTCACTCTTTCAACCTCTGTGGCCACTACCAAGCCTTGGCCCCTGGTTCCTAGAATATCAGAGTTTGGCAATTTTTTTTTTTTTTCTAAATCACCTGCCCTTAGGCTGACCTCTCCCATCCATCCTGGACAGAAAGACCAAAATAACCTTCCAGAAATTCCTCTGATTGTCTTTCTCCTGCTCAGATGCCTTCAACATCTCCCCCTTGCCTACAACTGGGGATGGCAAACTAGAGCTTGTGGGCCAAATCTGGCCCACTGTTGGTTTCTGTAAATAAAGTTTTACTGGGACGCGGTCCCACCCATTGGTTTATGTACTGTTTATGGCTGTTTTTATGCTATAATGGCAGAGACGAGTAGTTGCAACAGAGACCACATGGCCCCTGAAACTTAAAATAATTACCACCTGGCTGTCTATGGTAAAAGTTTGCCAGCCTTGGTCTACAAAGTAGAGACTGATCTCCACAGCAGGGAGCTCCTTACGGCCTGCTTCCAAACACCCGCCCAGCCTCATGTCCACTCAGGGTAGACTACATCATTCGTGGGGCCTGGTGCAAAACAAATAAGTGGGCTCCTTGTTCAAAAGGCAGAAAGAAGGCTTCTTTTCTTTCTTTCTCAGTCTCTGTCTTGACTTGTAAGGTGTTTTTTAATTTGCTATTTAAGGCCAGGCTCCCTGGGGCACAGGGATACTAACAGGGTGCGTGTGGACCCTCACAGGACCCAAAGACCACCCTCCTCCCACAAGTGCCCAGCCCATGCCCCAGCCCAGATAGAGGAGGCAGCAGTCACTGGGGAGAGGCTGCAAAATAGCTGGCTGAGATCCCAACCCAGGGAAGAGGGGACTGAGCACGAATTGATGCTCCAGGCAGCTGGTAGGTGCTTCATGATCTCATTGGACTTCGCTTACGAAACATACATTTAAACATAACATTAATAAGAATTTCAGGACGATAACCATAGCATTAAGCCCCATTAATCCCCCTCTGAGTGTGGGACCTTGGTTGGGCAACCACACTGGTCACACGCATGCCTGTGAAGCCAGGCCCGCGTGCCTCTGTGTGTGTGTGTGTGTGTGTGTGTGTGTGTGATGGGGAAATCAGGTGTTCGATGTAGACATGTTAAATTTGAGGTGCCTATTGACTGTCCAAAGGAAGCTACTCAATAGGTACATGCATATACATTTAGAGTTCAATCCTGGGAGCTGTCGGCATACATTTGGCCTCTGCAGTCACGGGAGTGAGTGAGATCACTTAGGCAGGAAATGTAGGCGAAGAAGAGTGGAGGGTCTAGGAGTAAGCCTGGGCCCTTCCACCACCTGGAGGCTCAGCAGCCAATGAGGGAGCCAAGAGAAGCCAAAGAGGGGGCCAAAAGGGGGCGCTCTCTGAGGCAGGAGGAAAGCGAGGAAGAGGCTGTGGCATGGATACCCAGTGAAGAAACCGTTTCAAGGAAGAAAGCTCAGCTGTGTCCATGCCGTGAATAGATGGCTGACAATGAGAGCAGAAGGGTGGTCACGGAGCCTCGCCAAACCAGGGGCCTTCATGATGGCAGTTCCCGCCAAAGAGAGACGGTGAGGGCTCAGTGGGCAGTGGGTAGAGGAGAGAAGGGAGGTGAAGCGGAGGGGGCGGCAGCTGTAGACACCTCTTCGAGGTTTTCTGGGAATGTAGAGGAAGAAGGGCAGTTGGCAGGTGGAGAGAGAAGGGCAGCTGACAGGTAGTCCAGGGGGTGTAAGAGCAATGAACACTGACTTCCTGTCCATTTCCAGCATTCAGTATGTTGCAGGGAAGATGGGGTGGGTCCTCCAGTGCAAGATGCCCATTTCCCTGGGTCTTCTGGTAGGAGCTGTGATCAGCTGTGCTAACACAGGAGCTGAAACTTTGTATGTCATCTCCGTGAAGGGGCTCAGGGCACAACTGGGCAGACTCCCTGCTGCTGGGGTGGGAGACACGGTGATGGCCGCAGTCAAACCAGGCAAAACGGCGCTCGTGAGGAAGGTACATCCCGCTGGTGGGAATTTGACGATGGAAGTCATACTGGAGAAAAGATGGCGTGTTTCTTTATTTTGAAGATAATTTGGGGTCATAGTAAACAATGTAGGCGAGGTGAGAGGTTGCAAAGGGGCCTGCAGATTTGTGGCCCAGTATTGCAGATTTTCCAGTGTATTTGTAAAGAAAAACCATTAAAAATTATTTCCCTTCCCAGAAAATAATGGACTTTATAACATCTTGCAAACTCCCCAATAAACTTTCTCCCTATGTTGCAATTTCCTCTAACTGCCACGTAGCTCCAGGAAAGAGAGTGTCGTCTGTGATAGAGCCAACCCTGATGGTGCTGGGGAAACTGGAAGAATAGGGCAGGTGAGAGGAAGGTGGACTGGCACACGCCCACCTCTCTGCTGGTGCCTGGGGAGGAGAAGGATGTCCAGGGGAGAGGGCGGTGCCCAGGAGCTCTGGGCGGTGACTTAGAGCAGAACGGAGCTGCCCATTGGGCACAGGGCCTGGTGGGGTGGGGAACGGCAGCATCTGAGGCGTGGGCGCTGGAGGCATGAAGGTCCACACTTACATCTTCCTGCCACTTTCAGGAGGAGGCTGCTCTAGAAAAGGGGTGGGAGCCAGCAAAGCTGACACCTGGGTTACAGGCCACAGTGGTACGAGAGAGAAAGCAGGTGGCGGAAGGCGGAACAGCATAAATGGAGTATGGAACAGAGTAGAAGGTAGAACACAGAGCTCAGCCCGTGGAATCTTGGACCTCATTACACAAGAAGCTGGAAAGACAAGCTCATGGATGGGGCGCCCCATGCATGGGAGAAGGTTCTTAATCATCAGGCAGGGCTGGGGTCTCCTGGGCCCCAGCCTGAGAGGGCGATGGGGGTGATGGGCCCCATTTCTGAGCTCTGGAAGTTAGCGCTGGATTGGGAGGGAGAAAATTCTTGAGCTCTTGTCCAGGCCCAGCATCGCCGGACCAGGCAGAGAGGCCCAGAAGCTGGTGGCCACAGAGCAGTGCCCCCACAGTGCTGGCCGAGGGGACCCAGGGAGGGCCTGTGGGGTGGCGGGGAGAGGGGAGGAAGGTGAAAGGGAACCGGCCCCCTTTCAGGTTGCTCCTCTTCCCGTTATTAATTGCGCAAGCTGTGAGTTACACTTCAGTGGGTCTTCACAGAGAATGAGTTAGCAGAACTTAATTAAACCTGAGCCGTTTAGCACATCGATCATAAGAAATACACAATTTACACAGGTGATTAGGCCACCTAATTATAAACCGATGTTTCTCCGCGCTCGGTTCCCTCTCCTGATTGCTCCTTCTCCGGGGTCTGCTAATGGGCCCTCGCTGCTCAGCCCCAGGCCCCGGGGGCTTTGCTGCTGGGTACGTCTCTGGAAATGGGCCTTGTCCTTGTCTTCCTAAGGCAGCGGGTTCCCCACGGAGAAGATCCAAGGCACCCCTGGGAGCCCCCCTGCAGGCTGGGGACACCTCCGGGACGTCACAGGGGGCGGGGTGCAGGGCAGGAGGCTCCCTGGGCAGACCTGCACTAGCCTCATCTCTCCAGTCCAGTCGTGGACTTCCTACAGCTCCCTTGTGCCTATAGCATCCACCATGACCTCCTCTGGGAAGCCTTCCCTGGCCTCCCTGACAGGCCAAGCCTCCCCGAGAACAGTCCATAGAAGTCCTGTGTCACCCTCTCCCCAGCACTTAGCACAGTCGTCATTGTGCTTTCAGTGGTGATTGCTGGGTGGCCACTTGTCTCCCCTTCTAGGTGGGGGCAGGGCTGTGCTTGTGTTCTGCTCTCTACATCATCCCCTTCTCCCAGCTAGTACCTGTGTTGGCATTGAGACTGGACCCTTTGAATTCTTGTCTCTGTTAATGCGGGTCGCCTTAGTCACTCCTGTAACAAATGGAGTGCGTGGACGTGCTGCTATGAGAGGGTTCTTAGCCTGGACCATCAGAACCACCCAGTTAAGTCATTCCCAGATTCCTGATCCACAGAATCTGAGTGAGATAATAAATGTGCGTGGTTCTCTGAAACCACTAAGTTTTGGGACAATTTTGTGTGTGCGTGCATGTGTGTGTGTGTGTGTGTGTGTGTGTGTGTGTGTAGCAATATATATGCCTGCCACTCAGTGGCCATTCAGTGGATGCCTCCGTGGAGTGTGTGATGGATACATTGAACTTAAATTATAGCCAATGGATGCTAAAGCCTCCGCTGCCCACTCGGATTTCTTCTACTGCTGACACTCTGGGGTCCTGTTATTACAGTAATGTTGTCAACCCCCTGCTTGTACCTCTCAGATCTTTTTGTGCTGCAGAACAACTTTCTACTGCCAGGATATGTATTTCTTGGCTAAAAAGCCCAGATAATTCTGTTACCATAGATAGCCAATTATTAAGAATAGGAACACAAGGAATAAGACATCGAGTTTAATGAACTGGGGAGCATATGCCTGTTTTCTTCACCAGGAAACTACAGCTTCACACCCCAGGGGATCATAGCAGTGCTCTGCCAGGGGGATTTACACTCCTTTCTTCCCCCTCCAGCACTGGATTGTTGGGGGACGCAGGGCGCAGTACTTGACCAAAGAGGCCTGTTAGTCTAGCTTGGGGAAAGAAGGAATCTGTTGGGAGGTAGACCTATCAAAAGCCCGCAAAACTTGGGAAATTGATTGTTTGTTCTAAAAAGCACCTTTTGTGTTCCACACCCAAGCTAATATAATCCCAGGGGAACAAAGAAGCGCGCGTTTGCTCTCTCTCTCTCACCTCCTGGTAATGCACTGGCCTGGTGTGTGAGCTCACTCTCTCGCGCCCAGGGGCACATGACCATGTGGTCTAGCAGCTACCAGGCATGCGGCAGGGTGTGTGGGCTCCAAAGGACTAAGGTTTGATATGAAGCAGAAACTTTGGACACTGGCTTTTGCTTTGGCCTTGCC